CTACACTCTACTCTCCCCTACTCACCTACCCCCAGAATTATTTGGAAGAAAATTACCCAAATAACTTAATATTGAATAAAAACAAAGAAATCAATTTTGGAGAAGACATAGCATAAAATAAATTTTGAAGAGGAATCAATCAGAAAAACAGAGCGATGATGAAATCAAATAATTATTGTTGTCATGCTGATGAAACATTGAATGTCAAAGGAATTACTGAAATAGAATCTTTATAAACATCATCAGCATCTAGATTTAAAAATTATTCCAACAAACAATGGATAATTTGCTAAAATGGAAAAAACTTGAGCCAGAGTTCTTATACTAGTTGATTTAACAGGCATTATTTTATTCTTGATGCTGTAAGAAAAGTGGGCGTTCCTTTATTTTTCTAAACAAGTGTAGCTACTGTTAGAAACACAACTGGATATGTAACTTCCGGGTCACCATGGGGTAAGTGTATGTGCTGTTTGATATGCCTGTCACTGTCCCAAGTGCACTGTGGATGTCCATTCATTAATCGTAACAGTAATTTGAAGTAGGAGCTATTGTTACTATTCCTATTTTACAGACATGGAAACTGAGAGAGGCTGACTTCCCAAGATCTTACAACTAGTAGGTGGAGTAGCTGGAATTCAAACCAAGCAGGCTGACTTGAAAGTACATGCCCTTAACCAGTATATTATAGATGTTTAAACCACATAGGAAGCAACAACTCAAAAAAAAAAAAAAAAAAAAGAGGAGAAGAAAGGGTAGAAAGGAAAGAAAAAGAAAGAAAGCTATGGGAGGTGTTTTTAAACTCACAAAATAAATTAGCCATTGCAAAAAGGAAAGAGGAGGGAGAGAAGTAGGAGAAGGAAAGGAGGGAGGATGAGGTCTTTAATTCCTCCAGTAAGAGATTAAAAAAGATTGATTCATTTAAAAATTCCATCTTAATTATATCTATGCAATTTCTGCGTTTTCCATGAAATGATGCAACGTTCATTCTGAGTAAACTGTGAAAAGTTAAAAATCTATATTGTAACTTCACAAACAACTACTAAAAACATAATGCAAAATTTCTAAAAAGCTAATACATAAATTAAAATGGAATATTAAAAATATATTTAAATAACCTAAAAGAAGGTATCAAGGAAGAAAAAGAAAAAACAATTAAAAAATACTATGAGGGGATGAACAAAATACAATAAAATTATAGACTTCTATAAACTGCAATTCAGAGTCAGAATTCATCAGAATGGTTCAAACAGCAAGACCCAACTAAATAGAGATTATAAGAGACATGCTAAGTAAGACATGGTTCGCTTTAAACTAAGTGGATGAAGGTTGACATGCAGGGCACACAATAAATCATACAAAGACTGGATTGCCTATATTAAATCAGAAAGAAGACTTCAAGACAGAGCACTGCCAATAATTAAGAGAAATACTGATGATCAAAGAATACATTCCTCAGGAAGACATAGGAATCATCAATTGGTTTACACCTAATGATGAGCTTGAAACTATAATAAACAAACATTGACAGAATTAAAGAAAGAAATAGATAATTTGGTAAAATATGCCTCGAAAGTTTGTTTTAACGGCATCTCTCAGCAACTGATAGGATACCTAGACCAAAAAAAAAAAAATCAGTAAAGCCATAGAAAATCTGAACCACCTTTAGTCAACATCTGTCACTCATTTGTGGCCATCTGCAGTGCCACACTGTGAGGGATAAAGATGGTGAGATCACACTCAAGAAGAAGGACTTTCAACTGATGCTGTCTGCCATGGACATAGAGTACCAGGGAAGAAGAGGACCCTGGACCAGGGACTTCCTTAACCCTGGCTGTGCCTTAGCATCACCTGGGGAGCCTTTTAAAAATACCAGTCCCTGAACCTTTCATCTAGAGATTTTTCTGTAATTCATCTGTGGTGTGGCCCAAATATTAGTATTTCACTAAACTCTCCAGATGATTCTAATGGGTAGTATAGGTTGGAAATCACTGCCCTAAAATGTGGGGGAAGTGAACACTCCTACATTGATTAAAGAAATGTAAATTATGTGTTATATATATATATGAACCTTAAATACATCATTTTATTAATAAATCTCATTTCTAGGGAAATAATAATCATTTACCCATATAATTTGTGTTCAAGAGTATTCTTTTCAGCTTAATTTATAATAGAGATAAATACATTCATACACACATAGAATGATTGATAGTAAGTCACATGCATACAAAGCAGATACATAGATACAGATAAATAATTGGGTAGGTGGAAGGAAGGAAGGAATAAAGGAAGGAGAGAAGGGAGAAGATCTAATATAAAATTGGTTAAATTAATAAAATAAAGATAAATTGAATATTTCTTAATAAGATGATGTTGACATGTACTTCACATAAAATATGGGCATAATAAGGTAAGTAAAGAGAATTAGGCTGCAATGCCTATGTAAAACACTCCATTTTTGCAAAATATATGTGTACACAGAGAGAAAAGGTCTTAAAGACTATGCTTCAAAATATCAACCGTATTTATCTAAAAGTAGTAGCATTTCTGTGAATTTTAATGATGTTCTTCTTGTTTCTAGTTTGTGTAAAATGAGTACTCATTTTATTGTATGTGTAATTGTAACAAAACCTGGTAGTAGGGGAGCAGAACAAGGACTCTCCCTGATTTCAGTCCTCACTCTATAATGGTAGCCTTTCATCTAGGCAGCTCTAATCCTTAAAAGAGGGTCAAATGGATTATTATTCATGTTAGTGAAGGAATTAAGAACTTAGCTCTCTGGAAGGGTGTGGAAACTGCTCTATTACCCTAAATGAAAAGCAAACAAGGGAAATTTCCTTTGATCCATGGGTGCCCAGTTCTTTCAGCCTTCCCTGGTTAGATCTGGAAGGCATCCATTAGAGGGTGAGGCTAGCTTGTACCCACGTGCTGTCCTTTCCAAGGTGTGGCTGGGAATGTGGGAGCTGTCCAGATCTACCCCCAATTATCTTTCCAGTCCAAAAAAGGTTGATCCACCTCCTTTCACTTGGGAAGCATCTGGGCAGGACCAACCGGATGACATGGAAAGAAAGCAAAGTCTGCTTAGGACACTCCACTCCTCCCTTTCTCCCACACTGCCCCTCCACTTTCCTTTATGTTCGTTGCTTTAAGACCTCAGATCCTCAGATGTTCTCTCTTCTGCTGCAAGAAAAGTGATCTAAAAAACCTCATTCTCATTAAAGCATCAGTATTAGCCTTTTGAAGGAAGAACAGAGAAATTACATTCACAAAGAAATGACCTCTCCGATGGACAAATTTCAAGCACCAGCTTGTAAGGAAGGGTCATAATGTCTGTGATTCTGGACTTGAAGTCTCAGCAGAAAAAAAGTGGGAAATGTCCTTGGAGTCAGTTGCCTTTGGGCCATCATTCTTTTTTTTCCCATTACTTCAGCAGGGGGTTGGAACATAGGTGGTGTTTGGTTACGTGGATAAGTTCATTAGTGGTGCTTTCTAAGATTTTGGTGCACCATCACCCAAGCAATGTACCTTATATGCAATGTGGAGTCTTTTATCCCTTTCTCTCCTCTCACCCTTCCCTCTAAGTCCCCCAAATCCATTGTATCATTTTTATGCCTTTGTGGCCTCATAGCTTAACTCCTACTTATGAATAAGAATATATGATGTTTGGTTTTCCATTTCTGAATTACTTGACTTGGAAAAATGGTCTCCAACTCCATCCAGGTTGCTGCAAATACCATTATTTTTTCCTTTTTATGGCTGAGTAGTATTCCGTGATTCCATTATATATATATAGATATGACATTTTGTTTATCCACGCTTTGACTGATGGGCATTTGGTCTGGTTCCATATTTTTGCAATTGCTAATTGTGTTGCTATAAACATGCATGTGCAAGTGTCTTTTTTATACAGTGACGTCTTTCCCTCTCAGTAGATATCCAGGAGTGGGACTGCTGGATTGAATGCTAGATCCACTTTTAGTTATTTAAGGAGTCTCCATGCTGTTTTCCACAGAGACTGCAATAGTTTACATTCCCACCAGCAGTGTCAAAGTGTTCCCTTTTCACCATATCTACACCAACATCTATTATTTTTTTATTTTTTAATTATGGCTATTCTTGCAGGAGTAGGGTGGCATCACACTGTGGTTTCGATTTGCATTTCCCTGATAATTAGTAATATTGAGCATTTTTTCATGTTTCTTGGCCACTTGTATATCTCCTTTTGTGAATTGTCTATTCATGTCCTTAGCCCACTTTTGATGGGATTATTTGGTTTTTTTTTTACTGATTTGTTAGAGTTCCTTGTAGATTCTGGATATTAGTCATCTGTCAGATGCATAGTTTGCAAAGATTTTTTTCCCAGTCTATGGGTTGTCTGTTTACTCTGATGATTATTTCTTTTGCTGTGCAGAAAGTTTTCAGTTTAATGAAGTCCCATCTACTTATCTTTGTTTTTGTTGCATTTGCTTTTGGGTTCTTGGTCATAAAACCTTTGCCTAAGCCAGTGTCTAGAAAGTTTTTTCTGATAGTTAGCTTCTAGAATTTTAATGTCTTTAGGTCTTAGATCCATCTTGAGTTTATCTTTTTAATGAAGTGAGGGACGAGGATCCAGTTTCGTTCTTCTACATGTTGCCTGCCAGTTATCTCAGCATTATTTGTTGAATAGGGTGTCCTTTCCCCACTTTATGTTTTTGTTTGCGTTGTCAAAAGTCAATTGGCTATAAGTACTTGGTTTCATTTCTGGGTTATTTATTCTGTCCTATTGGTCTATGTGCTTATTTTTATTCCAGTTCCATGATGTTTTGGTGATTACAGGCTTTTAGTATAGTTTGAAGTCGAGTATTGTGATGCCTCCAGATTGGTTCCTTTTGCTTAGTCTTGCTTTGGCTATGCGGGCTCTTTTTTGGTTCCATATGAATATTAGAATTTTTTTTCTAGACTGAGACGAGCTGGATTGTGTTTGGAAATGCGGAGAAACTTTCCCGTGTTGCATAGGGCTAACAATGGACACTCAGAAGGATGTTCAACCTCCAAAGCAGCAACCAATGATATATATCTGTGGAGAATGTCACACAGAAAATGAAATAAAATCTAGGGATCCAATCAGATGCAGAGAATGTGGATACAGAATAATGTACAAGAAGAGGACTAAAAGATTGGTTGTTTTTGATGCTCGATGTAACCTGGGAATTCAGAGGAATGTCTTCACTTATCCTTAGATTTGCTCTCTCAATTGTTTTATAGCTTTCGATTTTGCATACAGTAGTTTTCCCTTATCTTCAGGGGATGCATCCCAAGGCCCCCAGTGGACTCCTGAAACCTCAGAGAGTACCAAACCTTTATACACCTTTTTTCTATATATACACACCGATGATAAAGTGTAATGTATAAATTAAGCATAGCAAGAGATTAATAAAATAGAACAATGATAACATACTGTAATAAAGTTACATGAATGTGGTTGGTCTTTCTTGCTCTCAAAATATCTTCTTATACCGTGTACAGTACTCACCTATTTTCGAATGTAGTTGACTACAGGTAACTGAAACCACAGAAAGGAAACTTGGAATAAGTGAGGCACTGCTGTACTTAGGAATACAACTATATACATATGATTTTATTTTTAAGACCATATTGTAATTATCTACTAATATTTTGTATAAAGCAATTTTTTGTTCCATCACATGACTTTTTGTTTTACTCTATATGTAATCTGACACACAATTAAGGGTAAAGTTGCTTACCTGAACCACACTTTTAATCAAAACCTAGAAACATCTGCAGTGCTTGTTAAACATGCAAGTTTCTAGAACCCTTTGAAGTTCTGATTAAATAAACTTATTGGAAACCAAAAAAAAAAAAGAATTTTTTTTCTAGTTCCGTGAAGAATGATGATGGTATTTTGACATGAATTACATTGAATTTGTAGATTGCTTTTGGCAGTATAGTCATTTTCACAATATTGATTCTACCCATCCATGAGTATGGGATATGTCTCCATTTCTTTGTGTCATCTAGGATTTCTTTCAACAGTGTTTTGTAGTTTTCCTTGTAGAGGTCTTTCATCTCCTTGATTAGGTATATTCCAAGTATTCATTTTATCTTATTTTATTTTACTTTATTTTGCAGCTATTGTAAAAGGGGTTGGGTTCTTGATTTGATTCTCAGCTTGGTTGCTGTTGAAGTACAGCAGTGCTACTGATTTGTGTAGGTTGATTTTGTATTCTGAAACTTTACTGAATTCATTTATCAGATCTAGAAGCTTTCTGGATGAGTCTTTAGGGTTTTCTATTTATATGATTATGTCATCGGCGAACAGTAAGAGTTTGACTTCCTCTTTATTGATTTGGATGTTCTTTCTTTCTCTTGTATTATTGCTCTGGCTGGAACATCAATCTTTACTAAAACTTACCTTCAGGAAGTGTCTTCTAATGATTTTGAGAGACTAAGTGAAGAGGACATTTTCTAATTGAACTCTGAAAGTGCAGCCTAGAACCCTTGCATTAGGCTGTTCTTGCATTGCTATAAAGAAGTACCTGAGACCTGGTTATTTATAAAGAAAAGAGGTTTAATTGGCTCATGGTTCTGCAGGCTGTACAAGCGTGGTACCAGCATCTGCTCAGCTTCTGGGGAGACCTTGGGAAGCTTTTACTCACTGCAGAAGGCAAAGAAGGAGCAGACACAAACCTATCTCCTCACAGTTGGGCAAAGTAGACAAATGTTCTCCATTCTATTTGTAATTTACTTAAACATCTTCACAAGATGGTACTAGCACCCTGAAATGTGCTTTTCACAAGCAGTCTAGGAAGCATTCCTTGATGTCAGGTCACCCAGAAAAGGTTCAAAAATGTTGGCAAATCACTACTGCTTCTCCTCCTCCTCCATTACAAGGTAAAGGTTAGTTCTTAAAAGCAGCTGTAAAGCATGGGTTCCTTTAGCCCCTTCCCTGCCTCGCTGCCAGAGGGTGATAGGTGCTTATCAATATCATCCTCCAGTGACTGCTTAGTTTAGTATCCTATCCCTGCACAGTCATCATTTATCACAGGGCAATCTCATTGGCGCAAAATATAGTGCCCTTGTGACTCCTCACTCTTCAACACTTACTGATAGCAAATGAAAATGACACTGCCTGCCAGGTCCAACCATAACTCAACCTCATTTTCCCGAAAACCTTCAAGGGACACTACAAAGTAATGAGATATGCACTGCCTAGAGGTTACAGCACAGCCTAGATATGTTATGTTCAGATAAATCAGCCCAACAAATGATCAGTCTACCCAGAAATAAACACCACTCTGTTGTCCTAAATGTTGCATTATGTAATTTAAGCAAATGAGTTCAATGGGACGTTCTTCTTTAATCATAACCAAGATGGTGACCAATATTACCTTACCCCTTATTGTTGTTTAGTAATAAGACAAAGTAATTTTCTATTTTAATTCTCTTCTTGAAAAAATAAAGTTTGCATCTGAAATAATACTTATCGGAAAGATAATAATGATGATAATAATGACTATGAAGATGAGATTCCAGTTTATAGAATGCATTTTGCTTTAGAAAATGTCCCATTATTAAATTAATCTTTGCAGTAAATTTTGTGAAGTAGAAAATGCAGATAAGTTCTAACTTTTCCAAATAATGTGTCTGAATCCCAGAGGAAATAACTTGCATAGTGTTGTACAACTTCCTAAAAAGTTAGGGAAAGGAGAGGGGCAGGGTACTAAAACTAGATCTCTGGATCAACTTTCTTGCCAATTCTCACTCCCGCTATGTTACTGGACTACTTGAGATACACACCCTCACATAAATCCTTTCCATTTTACAGATCACGAAACACATTTAACATAATTACCACCAAGGCATGATTTACAAACAATAGACCTGTACAAAATGAAGCAAAATAAAATAAACAACTTGGTTGAGTTTATTTACACCTCTTGGGAAAATAACATAAGTGATGGATGAATTCTTTGTTTCTTGAGTAAAGTTTAAAAATTGTTAAAGGAATAACTACTATATATTAGTCACTGAGTTAGGTGTTGGAGCACAGAGATGTTCTCCAAGGGATGCTTCCTAGGCGAGAAACGGGTTTAATATCACACTGTGAATGTTAAATATGAGGCACAGATATGACAATTTTCCATATGTGGTATGTAGCCCACGATGAAGTATAAATCTCATCACCTTCTAGGTTAACTGAATCAATGGAGACAAACCGAAAAGTCCAATTTCCCAAAGGAGATGAAGTTAGACCCCAAAACACAGAAACCATGGAAAATCCACAGAGGACATTTCTGCCTCTGACTGTGCTTCTACACATTAGTCTGGAGAGGTTGTCTGGCTCTTAAAATAGTACCACAATCTGGTTAACTGCACTTGCCCTGTGCCCCTAAATAACCAGTTATCTTCTCCACGAAATGTAAGCTCCGTCTTATTGATTGAACAGCTGCATACCTGGGCATAACAGATTCTTATGTAATTTACATACCATTAAATTCACGTTTTTAGAGTGTACAATTGAGTGGTCTATTCACAACGCTGTGCAATCATCACTGCTTCTCCAATTCCAGAATATTTTCATCACCCCATAAAGAAACCCCATACTTATTAGCATTAGCTCCCCTTCCTCCCTTCATCCAGTCCCTGGAAACCACTAGTTTGCTTTCTGTTTCTATGGATCTGTATATTGTGCCAATTTTATAAAATGGAATGATACAAGATGGGACCTTTTGTGATTGCCTGGCTTCTTTCACTTAACACAATGTGTTCAAGGTTCATCATGCTTATAATGTATTAGTATTTCATTTTTTATAGCCAAATAATATTCTGCTATATGACTATATCACATTTGGTTATCCATTCATCTATTAATGGACATTTGGGTTATTGTCACATTTTTTGCTATCATAATAGGATTTTAATACATGCTACTAAACTTCCCCTGTGCCCCTAAATTGATGACCTTCTGAATGATAACATCCTATGTTAAATAACTAATAAACATATGAAAACTGTTCTACCTCATTAGTGATCAGAGAACTAGAAACAATGCAAGGTCACATTATAGTTATTGTATTAGCCAAGACTTTCCAACTCTAATAGCTGTTGTTACAGGGTGTGGGATCCATCATGTACTGATTACGGAAGTGGAAATTGGTGCAAACATTCACATTGGTAACATGTACCCAGAGCCTTGACCTATATTCATACACTTCGAATCCCCTAATTCTATATCCAAGAGATAAAACTAAAAATCTAATGTAAGAAATTCACTATTTGTGAAGATGTTTATTTATAATGATGAAAGGTAATAGACAAGCCTAAATATCCAGCAACAATAAAATGTTTAAAGAAGATACAGTAGATCTGTAAGATTAAGTTCTATTGGTCATTACAAATTATATGTTGAAAGACTTAATTGCATCAGAAATATTATTAGTATTCAGCGAAAATAGGCATGATACAGTTAATTTCAAATATGTAAAATTTCAAATATGTAAAACTTCAAAAAAAAGAGGAACTTGAGAAAATGTGCCAAAATGTGAATATGACTTTTTCTGATCATCTTCCAGGTGAGGTTTATAACTCACCTTTTGTGGCTGTGAGGATGAAGAGATAAAGAGGAATTCTATACACGATTGCACCTCTTATGCTTTGATTATCGACAGTTTTATGTACATGTGACTTAGCTCCCCTTTTAAATGCAAAGGTCTGAGAGGGCAAAGAATTATTCTAAATAGCACCATTCCTGTTAGTTGTACAACAAATAGTCTTTAAATTAATTAATAAAAGCATTTTTACTTTTATTAGACCCCATTAAACTCATTCAGCCAAGTACACTTAGAATGGATTATTTCCAGCAGTGATAACAGTCAAGAACAAGGAAATGGACATACAGAATATTGACTAACATTAGTTTCTGTAATTCCTTCCAACAGAGTCATTCCAGGAGGGTGAAGGATTGCTGGCCTCCATTACCTGCTAGCCTGCCTGCCTTAGAGACCCTGCCAAAATAAAGGGCAGGTGGGAAACATTAGACATTCAGTAAGAATGTAAATGGATGCAGTGATAGAGGCAAATGGCTGGTAAGTCACCTACTAGTGAAATACGCCAGGCTTAGTTCTTCTGCCAATGCAAAAGGTGTGTTTTTATCATGTGTCTGTGAGCAAAGCGACAGGTGAGAGAGGGCATTCTAGTCATTGGGGAAAGACTGAGCAGTAATGGCCTTTCTGTTTATGCAACTGTTACAAGTTGTCAAAGCTTTAAATGCGTTCGCCCCAAGCATCTTTTTTTCATTATATGTAAACGTTCAAGCCCCTTGTGTGGAAAGTACACTTGCACATGGTCCCAATTCGCTTCTACTCAACTTATCAAAACATTATCCCATAAGATTCAATTTAAGTTCAGAAAACTATGTGAGCTTCTTATATGAGGCTAATATTAGTCCTTCATATAAACAAGTCCTGGTTTTCCATGCCCTTCAACTTTGCATGTGTTTGCGTGACTCCAGTTTAAGTCAAAATTGGATTCTTTTGAGTTCAAGCCAGACATTATCCAGCTAGTTCAAATGTAAGTATCTGTGTCGTTAAAATCATCTCAAATAAAGAATGGTCTGAAATGGTGTGCTTTATTTTTTGTTTACAGACAAATGAAAGAGTTAATACTTTAGATACACAGCAAAGTCAACTTTTAGTTATCTTTATAAGACAGTAATAGATAAAAATAATTGATGAAATGTATTAATT